TCCAAAGAAAACCAGCAAGGAGGTGGCTTACACATTTGTTACTCATAGCTCCTATTGTCTACCCTCTGCCTGTATTAACTCTTTGCTACCTCTTTTCTCAGGAAGTTCTCTATGACAAGTTTTCCCTTATTTAAAGCTTTCTTTGACTCATTTCAACTCACTAATTTTAAGGAACAATTGAAAACTAAGCTGACACTTAGTATATTCAGTGCTTATTATACTGTCTGTGAAAAAAAATCAGCACACCTCCCTATTAGTTTACTATCAAGTTTGCCATCTCACTCTCAAGCTATAGCATTCATAGGAAGTTTCTCAAGTGAAGCTTGAAGGTTTGATTAGTTTTGAATCTCCATTTAATGATGGGCTAAGATAAAAGAGGTAAGATACCTCCCCTACACATATTCACAAACGTAGGCATCAAACTTCAGGAACGCAGTGCGTGAAGACAAGCCTCCTGGTGGCCACCCATCAGGCAGCCTAGACCGAACAGCAGCAATCTCTTTCTTGTACGGCACAATTAATAAAGAGAGGAAGCTGATGAGGAAAGGAGTGACTGGAAGACTGAGCAAGAGAAATTATGAACGGAATTTGATGTTGGGTTTAAACAAGTTATTTCTGGGAAAGCAAAAAAAAAAAGTCAAGGGTTTCCAGTTATTGTATGCGACTCTACCACTTCCAGTTTTATGATAACTGCTTTATAAAAACCTGCTTGCGGTCTGCTTTAACTTCATTTTTCTTGTACCGAACACCCTTAAAACCTTTTGATTGAACAAACCAGTAGCCAGCGAATCCTTTTCAAGCAGGGACTTTGATCAGATACTAGCTGTTAGCTTAATCACGGGAGAGATCCATTTTTAATTTGGCCATCTTATTTTACGCTGCTAATTAAGTAACATTTTGCTTATTAGTTGAACCTAATCATTCCATTTGAATTAAGTCACAGTGTCATGTCAGAACACAGTGCTGGGTTCTCCAAGTAACCATGGCTGGGTGTGGTAGCGTACTTTGTTCTGCTTCTGCAAAGAAAAACCCCACATGAAGAAGGGGAAAAGCAATCCAGCTCACGGCACCGGACCTTTCAGAAATGCTGGAAAGATGGGTTTAACACGAGCCGAACTGTCAGTATCGCAGAAGTTCAGCAGTTTAACTCCTTGCAGACTCGAAGCGGGCTCCCCGAGCAGGAAGTTGTTCGGTGGAACTCCTGACGCAATGCAAACCGAAGCAGTTGCAGCTTAGTTTAATACAAACCCTCTTGAGTCCACGTTGACAAATTCTTTAACGAGCCCTGTGGTTACAGGGAAGCTGGTTTCAGTCTGAGTCACTCCTGTTCAAACAGTTTACTGGAAATGGAGGGGAGGGGGAATTTTCAGAGAAGTCATGTGATGGCCAGACAAACCACAACCAGTGAAGGTTCAGTGGAGTCAAAAACAGGTCCCAGCAACAACTGACACTCAGTGTGCAGATGGCACTCAATCATTTACAAACGAGTCCTGCAGCATCTCGGCATTTCTATGGAGTTAACCCTTTTTCAAGTTCGTATTCTTTCAGAGGCAGGACACACTTGGGAAAGTAAACAAACAGCAGTGGCTGATAGTAACATAGGCAACTAGAAAATATTTTTACATGGAAATTTGGCTGCAGCAACGCTGCACAGAAGCAAAGCCTGATGTGTAAATCATTAGTTCTTAAAAATATGCCACTTAATGAATCCAAACACTCACAGTCATTAAGGATTAGATATACAGCAAAGATATTAGTACTTTCTCCTCTTAGCAAGGAGTACCATGATACAGCAAGGGCCCACGCATTACTCATTATTATCAAGTACCTTGAGGGAAGCTGGCATTAAAAGCTTCATTTTCACCAGAAACCTCCGTCAGCTTTAAGTGTTTCAGCATGACAGAGAAAAGATGAGAATACTAAACAATCAGTGACTGTTAAACTGGCGAAAAAGAGTCCCTGCACATGTGTGTGTAGACGTGAAACTGTACAAAACTATGCTTGCACTGTATTATTACCAATGTGCTGCCCAAGCATTAAGCAGTAGATTCACTTCCCCTAATTGAGAGGTTGGTTGGAACGGCTGCACTGGAGAGAGTCCCCATGGCTAAAAGGGGAGCGCTGATAAAAAACCTCCTTTGCTCTGGAATTCAACTGGAAGAGAGTTAACAGCAACCGAGATACCGTTTCAAACATCCGCAATTTTTAAATACTGCCTGAAGTATTAACAAATCCGACCGAGTGCTCTGTTCCTATAGCATGCTGGGCTCTGCATTGTGTGGAGCTCTGAGAAAAAGAGCCCTGCTTGTAAACCACACTCCTTCTCCAGGGCAAAGACGCTCGATTTTAACAGCAGCAGCCACGAGGCAAGAGAAGCTCTGACGCTCCCTTTATGTAACTGGGAGTAACTCAGGGGCGCGCACGCAGGGACACACAGAAAGGAGAAGTGGGTGTTCCTTTAAAATGAGGGGCTTTTTCTGCAGTATGCTAGTGGAAAGTTCAAGGCAGACTTACACATTGTCTGCAGGCTAGTGAGTTGTCTCAAAACCTAGCTCAAGGAGACGGGTCACTTGGATCTGAGATTTATGACAGAAAATCCATCAATAGACTCCTTAAAGTAAATAGTATTTTACTCTGTGTAACTTTGAACGGGGCACTAAACCTTTACACTGTTTAATCCTTTCAGGTTCCTTTTTCTGTTGTTTAATTTTAAAGTGCCAAGCTAGCAAGCACATTCCCCCACAGATCCTTCAGGCTGGCAGTTATATTATTCACGGTCTATTCTCACCATAGAAGATCCTCATCTGTTTCTCAAAATTACCATTGTTTTTGAGAAATAGCAGCGACAAGCTTTCTAAACAAAACACAGGCAGGCAGAAACGTCAAGCCATTTGGCTTTGCCTTGTAGGCATATAGCAGCGCAGCAGAAGTAGAGGGGGAAGCTATTCTTCAAAATCCAACACACTCTTTTTCATGCCTTTCAAAAAGGCAGGATGAAGCGAGACCTTTATACTCAAAGAAGGCTCTTGTCATTTGACGTCAAACATTCGTAGTAGTCTCCACGGCATAAGACACTTGTCACATTCCCCGTGTTTTCTTAAGCATAAGGCTTCAGTTTGGGAGAGTGGGAGAAGCTGATGTAGGTAATAAAAATTGCTATTGAGCAATTTAAAAATAGACATCATAACCACATGAATAGCAGTTACAGAACAAATAGCGATAAGCTATGCTGAAGATTGGGATTTACTCAAGATCATAGGAAGAGGCAGGCCTGTCTCCCACAGACATCTAGCAAAAACATGATTGAAGCCAAAAGCAAAAAGGAAGTCATCTTAGCAAATGGAAAAAACTGAACTGTCAGTTTTATGAGCACAATACAATTTAATCGGATTGTCAAAGCCTCATGTTAAAAGAGTTTTATAGAAACCAAACCACAAGTGGAGTTTAAAAAAATTTTTTTTTTCCTGGCCATCCATCCACAAAACAACATGCTTCAATCCAAATCCAATTGCCAAGAAAACAAAATCAAAAGTACTGGTAAATAACACCATCGTTTTTCTTAATTAATTACACAACGCCATTCATTTACTAAGGGCAGTCAATACAGCTAGCTATATTTTGGCCTGTCCTGACAAAATGCTCTCTAGCAAAAATCTTCTTCCCAAGAATCGTACTGTGCATTCTGGAAACCAACTCTGGCTGCTCCCACAACTGTACACGCATATAATTTGCTGGGACAGTTTCAGTAAACAGATAGCATTTCAGCTCTCGAGTCATGTATTCGACTGGTTTTGGTGGTGGTGGTTTGGGGTTTTTTTAACCACGACTTGATTTTTATACAGTTACGGATTACTTTGCAGAGCAAAGGCTGATGATAGAGTAAAGAACAAAGCAGATTCCCCACGCCCCGACTGCATCTTTAAAGAAACAGAATAATTTACTATTTACAATAGCAGAAAAACCCTTTGGAACTTTCTCGTAGAGGGAGGCTCTCAGGAAACACAGGGTTTACTGTTAGAATTACTAGATTGCACTCAGTATTTCCAGACAAACCACTTTCTTTCATGGAAAAGCTTCATCCATTTTTTGAAGAGAAGGAGAAAAAAGTAGAAGTATGTATTTATATCAAGAAAATACCCTGACAGAACAGTTTAAAGACAACACTGCATGGTAAATAGAATCTGCTGGGTTTTTAATAGCAGTCTCATGACCCATTTCCACTTTGTGGCAGACAAAACAGGATAAGAAGGAAAAATATAGAAGAGAAATTCAGTGGCAAGTAGTTTGAAGAAAAAAATGTTTAATTTCTTCTAAAACACTATCAATAGCCTGTGAACAGGATGCAAACTCCTGACCTGAACGAAAAATTATCTACAATAATATCTGACTGATGTACAGCATCAGTTGCAAACTATGCTGTAACACAAGCAGTATTTAATCCATCAAGAAAATAAATGACAAGAGTAACAAAAAAGGATTCAGAGCAGTTTGGTTGCATTTTTACATAAGGAAAAATATCTTCCCTCAGGCTGATGAATGGGTCATGCACTGGCCCCTGAGGCTGTTAGTGGCAAGGCAGGCAAATGTCATTTGAAGGGGATAAGCTCACTGAAGACCATCTCCTTGCCCAGGGAGGCTTTAAACGCAGCTATAACCACCATGATTATGGAACAGCACCTCCTCTGTCACTGCTTTGTTAGCCCACTTTCTCCCTACTTTCTCTCTACCTTTATTGTTCGGTTCTTGGAAGTCTAAATAAATGCAGTATTTGTAGCAAATACTTTGGCTCCGCTATTGTATGTGCTTCAACAAGCTGCATTCTTGCCCTCCCATCACCAGAGGTATCTCTACCCAGTGGAAGATCTTTTTCCATCCCTGGGAAGTCCCTTGTGAACTCACACCAACTGCTTTTTGGCCCATTCCCATTTCATTGGAATGGTTATTTATTCCATCTAGTTGTTCTGTGTTTTATTAATTCTGTTGTTTTGCACTGTTCTTACTTGTGCAGTCTCTGCATGTTCCAGCATCTCCTCAAATTCCTGGTACTCTTCATCATCAGGTTCAGCACCAGAGAGTCGGGCCGCCCTCGCCATAAAATATGGAGGCAGCTCTCCGATGGCTGTGCCAGCACCCTGGGAAAAGAATAATTCTGATTTATTTTCGTGTTTATTCTTCAATAGGAAACATGTGATATGCACGGTCCCGTGGACATTTCAGTTTATTAGAACTGATGAGACCAGCTGCTTTGAGAAGTTTGCTTTTATCCAGCAGGTCAAATTTCTCCCTATTTCAAACATAATGCTGTTCCTTTAAAACCCCACTTCCCCCCTTTCCTTGTTCAGCAAAATTCAGCTTCTCTCAGTGCAGACTATCATGCTGCAAGCCAGCGGCTCCCAAATTGTGGGCCGCAAGGTCAAAATGACATGCTCTGCGCATCGCCGGGGCCCCGCAGAGTGGCGCGGTGCCCGGCTCCGGCAGAGCCCCGCAGCCGGC